GAAACAAAGTACAAAGTGATCCCTCTGAAGCATTAATCACAACAAAATTACATAAGAATTGCAGACTCAGTTTGATTGAGTCTGTACATGAGGGATAATGAATAAGTGCAACATCCCCCACGTAGAATTAACCATCTATACATTGAAGCTACATGCATATCTATGAATGTGACATTGTGTATACATTTATTCCATGTTTGGTTATATTCCGTCTGTATGCATAATTATGACAAAAGAATAACTTTAGTCAAAGAAATTCAAACATTTTTCACTGAATCGAGGGAAAAACTTGTTTCATTATTCTTGTTATTGTTGCGTTCTATTTTTACCGTGGAACCCCGGGCGCGGTTTCATTGGCTACTTTAATCTAGGACATTATCTGATCGGATAAGGCTAACAGATGCTCGACTGGTTTTAATTTTGCGTTCATTGTCTCGTTGTTTGTAATATTTTATTTACGACGCAGTCCATTGGACAGAAATCTGTCCAATACGCTTGGGGGTTTCCTGATCCCATTATGGGCAGCCATCTTGGATGGGAACCATAATAGGACAGGGAACCAGATTACCTGATCACGCGCTGGTGTCATAAGAGTTACACAGCGTGATAGTTACTAACTAAGTAGGGTTGTCGACCACTAAATACCCTTCTTTCACCTTCGATTGTATACACCTCAAAGATTAACAAGTCCAACTTCTCAATCCAAATAACTTTATATTCGATGAAAGAAACATTTATGACAAAAATTAACAATAATAACAAAACCAATGTGTGACTTTAATAGTTTAATTGATTGTGAGTGTTAGCCAAAAGTAAAACATGCTCAATATAAAAGTTAATGTTGTGTGTGTGTTTTTATTTTATCATTATTCAGAATGTAATGAAAAAACGATCAAATATGTTACACTAGACTACTACAACATTTTCTCAATCATAGTTGCTCATTTTGAAGACCGTTTGGCTGTAAATTGTGCGGGCACGGCTCTATTTCAATACGGTGCAGGAAAGGTTTTTTGTAGCGATTATTTTGTTATTCGCTTTGGCATGTACAGAAGTAATATAGTAGAGTGCGAACGTGAAGGCCAATACTAGTTAACTGTTTTACAGCCTGTCAGGGTAGGCAGGGACGACGATGAAGATAATAGAGTACATGAGCCCCTAGTGTGTAGTGACATCTTGAAAGAGATAACCTTTGCTTGGCATATAGAGCTGTTATTTAGGCTGACTCCCTCATAATTGTCAAGTTTTACTATACTTTCAAGAACTAATTTGACACTCTTTCGCTATCTCTTTTGACAATAATTTGTGTAGATTGCATGGGTGTATATTATCACCATTTTGTGCTTCAAAAACCAGGCCTTTAAGGATATAACAGGTGATATGTCCGGGATCATTGATAACAAAACTCTATGAAATTGAGAAATAATTCAGTGCTCCGTACCATTTTATTCATACCCTTGTTTAACATTTTTGTATTAAAAGTATAGTATATAAAGAAAAGCTTTCGTTGTTGTTTGTGTCTTTTCAAAATCTAGATACATTATTTAACAGAGTTTTGATACTCCATGACAAACCCGACAATTGTAAAAACATTTGAAAGTTTTTGGTTTTTCCTTCTTCACCTCCTTAAGGCCTCAACAGACGGTAGGATTTTGAAGTACAACACCAATTAAAACTAAGATGTACAGACAAATCTTAATGTGTGAAGGCTACTATTTCTTGATTTCGGAAACCTTATGTCGAGATGTAAGGGATAGGACATGTTCTATTTTGAAAATCTTGTCGTACCGATTTTTACAGACCTCCCACAATGACAAGTAACAGATAAGCAAATTATCTCCTGATAATGGATGTAATGAATGAAATTCCAGAACAATTAGGGCTAAAAGGTAAACATAGTAGTAAGATCAGGAGACCCAAAGTTGTGTTGTGTTCGAATCCCAAATTATTCCGAAAATGATTATGTCACGGTATTGAGTTGTTCTCTAATTACATGAATTTGGGGAGGGGAGGTAGTTTGTAGGCGGCCACATAGCTTAGTCAGTAGAGCCGCAGTACCGTATTCCGAGGGTCCCAGGTTTGAGTCTCGGTCAGGCTTCACATTTAATATATATATATATATATATATATATATATATATATATATATATATATATATATATATATATATATATATATATATTTTTAATGGAGGTGTTTCAATCATTACTCATGGCGAAAAAAAAGTATTAAGTGAGTAAAGTATGTAAAGGATCAATGTAAAGGGATCCTTTTCGGGGGAAACCTCAGAAGATTCTTACAGTATAGAATTACCGTCTGAATGCAAGTGTTGTATAGCTTTGAAAATTGTACATCTTATCTCTAATTAGTGCTGTACAACTAAATCCTACCGTCTGTTGAGGCCTTTATTCTTCTTCTTTCAATTATAATTATTACTTTAATCATTATTATTATTAGTAGTAGAAGTATTATCTTATAATTATTATTATTATTATTATTATTATAATTATCATCATCATCATCATCATCATCATCATCATCACATTTTGTATTATAATTTTTATTATTATTATTATGATTATAATTATTATTATTATTATTTTTATTATTAAATTTATTATTATTATGATCATTTTTTATAAGTATTATAAGTATTATTATTATTATAATTATTATTATATATTTTATTATTATTATTATTATTATAGTATCCTACTTTATTAACGTCATATACCAAAAAAGCCCCGCCTTTGATATTTTCATCAAATTTGACTTTCTACTGATAAATAATAGGTTTTTGGTTTTAACATTTTTATCGTAATGTACCGGTGGACACTTAAACTGACTCAGCTAAGAAAACAAAACAGTTCCTCTGGCAAGATAGGTCTTTAAGGAAATATGTAGGAAGTAAAATAATTTTCAAATAGCAGTTTTCTTAAATAAATTTAACTTTCAGTTTCGGTTATTGCTCAGTCATTATTACAAGTTCTTCCACGAAATATATTTTTAGCCTTACACGACCTTACGGTCACATGTACTAGTACATCAAATGATGACATTGTTTTTTTCAAACAGGATGTATCGCATTCAACAAAAGATTTGTTGCTGATACAAATATGTACACTCAAATGCATAAAATGTCGGTGAAATTTAAAATATGTTTTAAATGTCCTTGCTCTCGACTTTTCATTTTGTTTAAAGATTGTGTACGATCAATTCTTTAACTGTTATTCATTTATTTTTATTTTTATACGCATTTGGGTTAACTTTAAATATATGTATATGTTTTTCATAATATCAGCCATATCATATGTGATTATATATAATGAACTCGCATCCGTTTTTCCAGAAACGTAATCCTTTTAAATTTTGATCATTCCTTGAAAAAAATAATTTTCTACAGCGTTTTTATTTCTTTATGGATTTTCTGCAAACCTCAATTATATTTTCCTGAATCATCATGCATCTGTTTTGTTCAGAAATATTACTACGTTAAAATTTTAATGTACGTCTTTTTCCACTGAGTTTTCTTTTTCGAACAAAGACGTTTAGAATAAACTGTAGGTATAAAAAGTATCTTTCGTGTCCAGCTTTGTTTATTTGTCATTCAATGAAAACGCTGTATTTCTTAAAAATTGTCTTAATTTCATAGAAGAACAAAAGTCGATAATATATCGAATATCATTCATAGCGCTTTCTATTTTTCATAGTCCTTATTAGTTAGTATTTATCCGTACAGAAATCTACCAGTGCAAGCATTTACTAAACTATATTGATCAAGAACGGCACTCGTATCTGACATTTTTTTTATTAAACAACCGGTTTACTTGACTTTAATGTGGCCGAATTACACCAGTAAAAATATCATTAATATTATCATTGTCATCATATTCATCATCACTACAACCATATTCTTTTTCATCATAATCATCGTCATAATTGTCATTATCATGTTCTTCATTAAACACTTGCTAAACTGAAATGTTTTCAATTGAATTCATTATTTTATTATTGTTTTCGTAATTTAAGAAATCAAATATATATATCATATATATATAATATGTGTGTGTGTGTGTGTGTGTGTGTGCGTGTGTATAAAATGTACTTGTTTTTTTGTTTTTTTTTCATTCAGGACTTGTAATTCCACAGTAAAGCATGCGTTATATTCAAAATCACACAATAAAACTGTTTATCAACTTAGAAAATATTTCACCACTATCAAATACATTTTATGAAGAAAATGTTAGTTGTGTCAAAGGAAAGGAATACAAACATAGTTTTATAACCGACCTACAATATCATCTTTCAGGTACAATCTCACCATATTGAGACAAAGGTATGCATACCTTTAATATCATCTTTCAGGTACAAATTCGACATTTGGAGACGTAAACAACTCGTTTATGGGTGTTTATCAACCTTGAAACTTGCTGACATGTACCAAGTTTCGGTGTGTGTTTTATTATAAGACATTGTTACATTGTATATACTTGCTGTATATTGTTTTGTTCAGCTTTTACAAAAATGAGAGGAGATTAAAGTAACTATCGACCTGCCTTCAGGGTAGGGGGGGGGGGGCTACTGACTGCCATGCCTTTTAATTTACTAATTTACTGGCCCACTGACACTTAAACACATATTTGTTGGCTACATTATTACAGCTTATTTACTTTGTTTAAATTAACATTCATACACACGCATTTAAAAGTGAAATTTAAAATCGACGCGTCTAATTTGAATTGATCATTCAACATAAAACTAATTCATAATCGCAATACAAGGGTCATTTGATATTACTAGTAAGTGCTTCAAAAAATTATTGGTTCAATAGGATTGTTGTATTTCAAATAAATTGCTACACATTTATTTTCGTAATTAAATATTAAAGTCATGTAAACCGGTTGTTAAATAAAATAACTTCAGTCACGAAAGGTTGAGTGCTCTGCCATTCTCAATATAATTTAGTAAATTATTGTACTAATGAACACTTACTAGTACCTAAAAAAAATACTGTGATTTCATATAAACATTTGAAATGAAAACATTTTAAAGATGAACTTTGTGCTCAATTTCTAGAACACTTAATTCAAACATATTGGATAGATTAAAGAACACACTTTACCGTAAGTTTTTATACATAGTAATACGTCTATCATTCATGTTGACAGTAACAATTTACTGATGTAGTATTTCTATTGTCACCCGGATTCGTAGTTAAGAATACAATGTCGTCAGCAAATAATATAATATACATAGATAGCAATTCTAAACTTTTATCAGTTAAAGTATTAAAGTATATACTATCAATAATATCGTTTACGACAAAAACGAAAAGTAAGGGAGATAATGGCTCTCCTTCCTTCTGACCCGAAACATTCCGACATCTGCATAGTACTAGATATCTTTACACATGATTGTACATCATAATAATAAATACATTTCATCATGTTGGTTATTTTACAATTATTGTCGGCTTGAATAAGTTTTATCCATAATGCATCTCTGTTAACGGAGTCATAAGCTCTCTGATAGTCAACAAAAACACACCAAGGTTTTGATTTTTTTATAAGATCTTCTTGATAATTGTATGTAATAAAAAATTGCAACAGTTGTTGTTGAACGACCATCTCTGAATCTATACTGAGAATCACTTCAGACATAATTTGTTTCATACCAATTATTAATACGGTTCCTTAACAATGAGGAGAAGATTTTGTCGATTGTATTTACCAATGTTATACCTTTATAATTCGAGGGGACATCTTTGTCATATTTCTTATAGACTGGCATGACAATTCCCCTTGACCAGGAACTTAGGTATACACAGTTGTCAAATATATGATTGAATATTGTACAAAGATATAGAAATAAATTCTCTACAGTCAATACATTACGTTCGTAATCACAGCTTTTATAACGGGTTAGCATAGATATAGTTTTACTTACTCCATCCACAGAAATGGGTTTATCAAGATCATCAATATACACACCATTATCATTAGAAGCCGCGAAATTATTAATACTTTGATCATGAGTCTAATTTGAAACATTTTCAAAATGTTTTTTTTAATCCACTTGATTTATAGGAATCTTGAAATTATTGTTATTCTAAAATTTATGAATGTATTTCCAGAACTTTCGAGGAGCGGTTTTGCTCATATAAGACAACTTTACTTCTTCTTTTTGATAAAAAAAAATTGGCTTAACGCTTTGTTTCCAAAAATGATTGTCTGCATCCCAAAAACAAAACTTATTTTCATCAGTCCTACTTTCATAGAAACAGCTAATGACAGCAAAAAATCCAGACTTTTCCCTTTTACAATCACTATTAAACCAAAGTGCTTTCTTCTTTATACAAGGCTTTAATCTAACTCAAAGATGTACCAAAACATTGCATTGACATAGTGTGTATTGTATTCAAAAAGATAGACATACATTCATTTATAAATATCATATTCGCCTTAAAGAAGTTTATCGTTTGTTCTTTTAAAGATGTGTTTGTTCCTCACTTTAAACGGTATTTGTCGTGAATTACACGATTTTGTATTATAAATACCACTAGTTACATGGAAATTTAAGCTGAACAGATTTGCTTTTCAAGGATCATACATTATGTGATTATAATGTTGTTAGTTATGTAGCTTTCTACATGTTTGTATTACTCTTAGTTATGAGGATTATGTATGTTTGTATTTGTCGGGAAACTATTATATTTCTTTCTACTACAAAACATAAGAATAGTTAATTTTTTTATTGGCGGGAATTTAGTTCACTTGTGAATTACTCAATATCATGATATTTACCTATTTTCAAAGATATTCATATTCATGACTCGGAAAGAAACACTTTAATGAGCGAATTACCAAATTCGTTCAATAGTGAGTGTTAAAAAAGTTTCGTTAAAAGGTGATTACAAAGTGTAGTTGGATGTAAAAGTGAAAAATAAATCTGGATTTAAAAGTGATCTGTGTTGTCTTCAATGTAGTAAAAGTTCACAGGAAAAAGTTAAGAAAATTTTATTGATATCTTAAGCATTAACAATAAAGTGTATATATGTAAGTACTTTTATTTATTTACCATAGTATATAGATAAAAGTATAATTAGAAAGTTATGACAATATTGAAATGAAATTGTATCAAAATAACACATTTTATTGTTATTATTTACATTTCAATGCAAAATTTCACGTTCTTATTATAACAAATAGACACTCTATCATAATTGTGCAGCAGTTGAGTTTTAATCTTTCATATGATAACTATATGACCTAAAACAGTGACATACAACTTTATTTGAAAGAAATCCAGTGGATTTATTGGCCGGACTTGATTGTCCGTGAGATGGCTCATATTTCCGAAATGGTAATGTAATATGTTGGAGACATGTCATACCTACCGATCATACTTGTATAACATTTTAATAATCAGGGAGTTCGTATAAATTGTTTTTTTTTAACCTTAATTGGATTCATTTGATAGGTGTCGGGCCAGTACTAAATTAGACCCAGACCAGTTATAGTCTAGAAAATAGTTATAATTGAACATTTATTATGAAGTGCCCAAAATTAAATCATTTTCAAATTAATTGGGCATATTTAAAGTGTATTTATTACACCTGTGTATTTGTGTATTGAATAAATGCTTTAAAAGTTGTTTGTGTGCATATTCAAGAAATCATTCCTGCGCAAAAGGATTATAGATGTACTGGACCAATCCACTTTAAAATGATGATATGTAAAAGTTGTCTGGTAAAATTTTAATGTTAATTTAGGCCCCGGTAATTGGGCTAGCTAAATATCCTCCAACGATTTAGCTAACACATTGTTAAATGCAGTTTATCACATTACAGACATGTAACTTTGTCATATTCATATGTTGACTTGAAAAATGAAGTAGACCAAAGCATCGGCATAAAGGATACACTCCCCGACAGAAAAGATACTTTTTTGTTTCTGTTTTGACACACTTAAATCATAATACTAATAAATGATTTGAGATATGTTTGCCTTTCCTTAAATAGTTAAATCAATATCGTAAATTAAAGTTATGTTATAAAGGCTAGGATGAACGCATTTGAATTGTATTTGTTTGGATCAAAGCAAACGTTGCTGGAGTTATTTTATTTGTTCGTATTTATCTTTTTTATTTTAATGTATAAAACACGTTAGATCCGCTTCATATAAATTTACGATTTCTTAAGTGTACTTATTTAAGAGCCTAACAAAAGTGTCATTGGCAGCTTACATACGAAAATACTTGCGTTTTAGGTGGTAAAATATTTAGGCGGTGAAAAGTACACTTTTATATAAATATAAAAACAGGAATTGCGTACAATATCAGATATTGACTGAGACAGTGAACTTACGCATATGACATTTACCTGGGTGATAAATGTCGCTCGATTAACTTTCGGAATAGTTCTTTTTAACAAACAAGAAAAGTTATGTAAATAAAGAAGTTCATATATTATGACCTGCATTCTATGTTTTTCTTTCACTTATTTTTTTCCGTATAATTTACATTTCGACAATTTTCGATATAAAATAAATTTGACCAAATATTTAATGTCATTCTCCAAAAGTTGTCCAATTCTATCAAATATCGGATTCCACTAACTGCCATTTTCAGTTCGATGTCTTCCGACGAAATTCCATGGAATGGAATTATCGACACCCCTTGTTGTCAATATTCATGTAAACAGATAATAAAAAGAATAGCAAATTCTAAATATAGCATAAATGACATCTCAACAGCACAGGATAAGACAGTCGTTACAATAGTAGATAAAATCAGAAACCTGAAAATCGTTAAATATATTTTGAATTAATGTGTTTGCTATATAACCCTTTTAAGTTGACGCCGAGTGCTGACTGCAAACATTATCGCTTAAATTCACTCTTGCTGTCTTATTAAAACTTACATAAATTATATCAAGAAGACAAGAAAGAATAATATATATATATATATAATGTTATTGATGTATTCGTAATGATGTAGTTACTAAATACTAACGAGACAGTACCAATCGAGTGAAACAACAGCAATAATTATTGTCACGTGAGCCTCTCAACAAACTCAGCCATCCAAACAATAAACTGTAATATCGAATCATACGTGTCCTCTTGTATTTCATATACCTCGATATTTGCCACTTCAATTTCCTTTTTCAACATATGTTAAAATCTATCTAAAACTATGCATATCTTGGTTTTAAAGCATGTAAAATAATGCAATGCACGCGTACATTGAAATACATGCAAACAGTGTGGAGATGGATTTGAATGAAAAATATCAAAATCATATGGAGCCCTCGTCTATGCCAATTATATATCTTTTAGATGGCAACAATTTACAAAAACATAGTGCATTGCTTAATATAAGACAAATTAAATAACATAATACACGGTTTTTATTTTGATACAGCTTAATTGCCGTTGAATTACACAGAATAAACTTAGCTTAGTATTTGAGTTTGTAATTCTTGTTTTATCAATGATCATTTCAATGTTCTTATCGTAACAGTTTTAGACCTGTTGCAAAAGCTATCTCAAATACATGTTCGCTCCGATGACATTTCGACGAAGGACATCTCATTAGATATGACAGGCAGTCAAATCCGACACTTGATAGATCTGGAAAGCTTGCAGAATGTGACAATTGGTTGAATTTATTTCACATCGAAACTAATCGAAAATTTATAAATTTATAAATTTTGTCGAATAATAAATTGGAGACAAAACATAAAATACAAATATATAACTTCTTTATTTACACTCAGTATTTTTGATTGTAAAATAACACTAATTACGTGAGTTACTCGAGGGGCCTTGATCGACGATGTATTTGTCATATCTATAAGTTTACTGTTTCATATAAAGTTCATATTGTATATTATATGCATTTTCACGCAGAAATCCATCGAATTCTGTTTTCAAAATTACTCGTGATATGAAAGATATTTTCATTGGTCTTCTTAACCTAAAACAATGGAATAACACATGAATAGTGAGTGCGTGCGTGCATCTGTCCGAGTGTGTGTGTGTGTGTGCGCGCGCGCGCGCGCGCGTGTGTGTGTGTGTGTGTGTGTTTATATATATTCGCCACCCATTGTCTATATGGGCAA